CTAATAAATTTTTATTTTTTATCCTCTATGAATTTACTCAAAACATAATTTATATTTTATGTACACACATCTATCTAATAATATCCACAAACATTGAATCGCTAACTTTTCTAATCGTACTTGCATTTGCCGCGCTAGCAGAAGAACTTTGGATACACATTACCAACATCAGTTAATTCGGAAAGAGTATTTTGTTATTTAGTATATAAGTACGCGGTAAACAATGCTCATTTTGAAAACATTTGTTCTTTATTAAAATACCAACAATTTACGCCCAAAAGATTGAAAATCGTACATTCGAGTCAAAAGATAAAAACTTTTTAAAAATTGTCATAAGAGCTCATGTTGAAACTTCAACTTAGTTATTTCATATGTGCCGAAATACGTGGTAAACAAATTTTAAAAAATGAAAAAAATTAAAAGAAACAAACCAGAGAATATAAATGGGTCATGGGACTCACGGTAAGAACGAAGTTCTTTAAAGATAAGATGAGTATAACACAATTTCTCAGGTAACAAGGGGGTCGCAAGACCCATAGGAAGAACAAAGCTCTATAAGAGTAAGTACTGCATTCATGTAGTTCAGTAAAACGAAAATTTGAAAAACGAATAAAAAAAAAAATTTTTTTTTAATTAGTTCAGTACTCCCGATGTTTGAACTTCGTGAGAACGTCGTGCATAAATTTAATACAGTAATCACGAAGTTCAAACATCGTGAGTACTGAACTAATAAAAAAAAAATTTTTTTTTATTGGTTTTTCACGAGGAACATTTCTTTGTAATCCAGCAGCTCTACTTCCAGAACAGGCACGTATTTTATCTCGTCACTCATATTAGTACATTCTGCGACTTTTTTCTGTTTATATTTCTGGCTATAAGATTTCGGAACAATATTCCTTCCCCCATTTTTTGAGGGGTATCCAGCCATTTTCTGATCTATTTCTGCTTTTTATTATTCGCACGTAAATTATTTGTCTCAATTTTGCAGGTATTTTAAAACACTCTGGCTTTAACAGTGGTATATCTACGTCATTTAATCTAATCTTGTTCTCAGTGGCACTTATCTGGCCCCGGTATCGCTTAAAAGTATCCCACCCTATGATTCCTTCCGTGTCAGTTGGGAAGTTTTAGGGGACGACATGTAATCCGTACTGCTGGGCCTGTTCTGTGCCGAATGTTTTGCGTGCTTCGTTAGTCACGCTGATAATAGCTACTTGATACCTACTGTCAATAAGCATGTCTGTGCTAAGAAAATTTTCTTTTATAATCGAAATCTCTGCACCTGTATCTGCATAAAAAGTCGCCTCTCCATTCTTTAACTGTGGTCCCCGTAACTGGACCGATGGTGGCATATGTTTTGTTCCCATGAGTTTTATAGTTATTTTGGGAAGCTTCTCTATTTCTTCGTCACACTCTGAAAGCTTAGATTCGTCATTCTCTACATGTGTGTCCGGCGCCTTTATCTGATTATTTTTTTTGCGGGCTCTTTTGCCTTTCTTCGTGCGTCTACCTCCTCCCTCCCCCCCCCCATTGTGTAGAAGTATCTTCGCACTCTGCACTATTATGTTCTATTTTTTCTTGCACTGCATAAGTACTTGGGCTGTTGATGTGAGTTTCTGCCTCCACTATTTTTTGCTCCACCTTCTGCGGCCTCTCTCTCATACATTCTCCTTCACCGGACACTCTTCTCTCCATCTCTTTCTCTAATTCATGTTCGACGTTTGGGGACGACGTCGAACATCTTGCAAGTTTAAAGCTGCGGGTGGGTCTCTTCTACTGTTAGGAGCGTATACACCGTTTTCTCGCTACTGTGGGCCCCTATCTTATGGTGACCCGTTCCCAGCTAAATTCCTGTTATAGCCATCCTTGGTATCTTGATTCTTGTAGCCGTTTCCATAACGGTTAAATGTATTTCTACTGTAACTATAATACAAGTCACCGTGGCCGTGGCTGCCGTAATAATTATTATCTCTAGGGTTATAATTATTATTCCTGTCATTGTTATTATTTTTCCAGTTTTTGGCATTATTATATCTATTATTGTAATCATCATTCCTTTTATTGTAATTATTATTCCTGTTATTGTAATTATTATTCCTGTCATTGTAATCATTATTCCTGATAGAATGCTCCATTGAGCCATCGTTGTAGCCCCTATGATAATTATTATAATTATTTTTATGAAAATTATCATTTTCACCCCCATATCTATAGGCATTTCTGTTAGTTTAAGTATTGTTTATGGATTGGTTATGCCCCTCGTTTCACCATCTCTCTTTTTCCTCCCTGTCTTGCTTGCATGAGTGGCAGTCTCTCGCATAGAGTTCCGGTTTCGACAATGATTGCAATTTCCCTTTAGTTCTCTTTCGTTATCTCTTGAAGCCTTTGTGTCGTTTATTACCGCTAGTAGTTTTCGTCATTCCTCGACTGGATGCCCGGTTTGGCCGTCGCAGTACATACAGTGTTTTTCGTTTGCTGCTGCTGCTCTTTGTGCCCCATTGGTAATTTCCGTTGTTTTTTCTCCTTTTCTTGCCAGGTTGACTAGTAGCCCCCACTCGTTTGTTGCCTTATTGTATGCGGGCAGTGCACTTACTGGTATTGCGTGCCGTAAACTAAGGTCGCTCTCGATTTTTAATGCCTCTATGATTGCTTCCCCTCGTATTCCCAGGTTAGAACTTGCCATTCCCTAACTAATAGTTGGAAGTAATTTATATGTAAATTGTTTTACTGCCTCGGACTTCAAGTTTGCTTTCAGCATCTGTTTTTGAATCGGGGGAAAGTATGGGTTCGAATCGTACAACATCGTTAATTTATTATACAATTGTTGTACTTGTCCGTCATGGTCGTCTATTACTTCAATGTCTTGTTGTGTTTTTATTTTTCATTTTGCCATGAACAAGTTGGTGTTGTTAATGCTGCAGTATCTATTTGAGAGCTCTCTAATTAACTCTTCAACTGTTTTTAACTGCGTTAATTTTGGAGCGAAATGTTCTGCTGCTTTTCCTTTCAGTCTATTCGCAAGGGCATTTTCTCGAACAGCGGTAGGTTGACCGCATCTCCATCGAAGTACGAGATGATGCCCGTAATATGGCTGAGCATAGGCAGAATGTTTTGTTGCGCGTTCTGCGGTCTTCGTAGGTGGTTATGGTTGTGTGTAGAGTGCATATCTTGTCTATATTGAGTCAAGGTAGATTCTATATCACCCCGTAGTCTATCCACATTTGCATCAAAATCGGCCCAATTTGTGTAATTATCAGTTAGTGGTGGCACCGTTACCATAAACGCAGCTTCCTTTATTTTTTCAGGTTCCTCTCTCATATCTTTTATTCTGTCACATAGCTGTTTATTATGTAAGTCTCTTATCCCGGGGTTTTTTGGCCTATTATATTCGTAACACGATGCAACGGAAGTCAGCCACTCTGGTTTATCTGGGATACCTTATTACATCAGTAGTGTACGTATTTGTTTTTTCTATTTAAGCTCCACGTGTCTCTTCAGCACTTATTGCATTTTGCTCGCTGACTCGTATGCTAAAAAGAAGACCCGCTTCTTTGTTCATAAGTCCTGTGTTACCTTTGTGTCTATATATATATAATTTCTTTGTAATCCAGCAG